CCCCCCCCCTCCCCCTCTCAAACGCTTCCCCCCCCTCTGGAAATTCTCCATTTGGTCTTGAATGGCTGTTCGTACGGGTCTATTCGAATGTACGAACGGCCTGTTTTTGTACTGTGGTATAGAGTCTATAGACAGCGCTGCAGAAGGATAGGACGCGGCGAGGATCAGCAATTGGGTCCGCTGAATAATATGCCGGAGGGAGTTCTTATCGTTCCCACACACGGGCAGCCCGGTGAGGGTAAGCGTTTGAATGAGAATGAAGATACATTGGAGCTGGGCTTTCTGCAAAGTGGTGAGATCGATCCTGGAAGGGGTGCACCTCCTGTGCCTGTCATTGGTGTACCTGGAACCGTCCCCATCAACAACGTGATGAGAGGCTGTATCCGGAGTACAATTGGGCATGATGGCGGGAAGTTGATTGCGGAAAGCCAAACGGCGGGCATCAGATGTGTCTCTTATGCAGCAACAGATCCTGTGAGCACCGCACATCAGGGTGTTGAAGCGGATGCTGGAACGAGTCTAGAGACTGGATGTATCTGATCACCCGACACACGTCTGCATCACATGCTCACAACAGAGAGCAATGACTTGGAAGTCGGATATATCCGCCCGTAAACTGATGATCTGGACCTGGAAGATGGCCGACCTCCCAACTTCTGCTCCTGCCTTTGTTTCTGATTGTAGCTGCTTTGCGTGAATCGGAGCCAAGGCAAACACATCAATGGCCTTGGGCACCAGGGCGAGGACATCATCCAGGGTAAGTCCTCCACTCTTGGGTCGTAGAGAGGACACTACTTTCCATGTGATTCGTTGGAGATGACGATGAGGTGGATGAACGCAAGGGAGACGATGAGAGTGCACGTGATGAAAGTGGTGGTGGGGAATTGGACCTTTTCTTATATTCAGGGATATGTGTGATGCCATTTGCGACTGAAAACGTCATGCATGAAGACAGCCCGGGGATGCTTGAAGTGCACGATACAGAAGTCTTTGAGGATGCACCCGTGTCAGGGTTGTGCAGCATGGATAGGGACGTCTACACAGGAGAACTGGCGGGGGCTTTTGTGCGTTCTTCGTTGACCAGCGATATCGTCCAGGAAGTGTTTGGAGAAAGCAGTGGAGATGAAGGGGGTCCATCGCGTTTGGCGACAACAGCTGGGTGTACCTATCAACCTCCAGCAGCCGATGATGAAGTGGTGGTAATCTCAGGGGGCCATGGAACGATCGTCGACCAGGTCTTCAGAAGTATCGATGCAAGAACCATACAAGCTGGCAACTGAAGTTGCTGCAAGTGAGGTAGTTTGGATCATCGGCATCAACGTCAATAACTTGCGCCATTTCCCACCTGGGCGGGAGTACATTGTCACGAAGTTCACTTTCAAGGCGTCGAAGTCCACTTTCAAGGTGTTGGTCCTCGGTTCTTCACTTGTCGTGGAAAATCTGGAAGTTGTGAAAGGTGTGGAAGATGTGTGGACTCCTAGGATGTTGATGATGTTGATCGGGAAGTCGTAACTGGCAACCAGTGACTTTTTTTTTTTTTTTTTTTTTTTTTTTTGAAAGTTGTAATGCTTATCTTTCCATCTTTCTTGTGGAAAGCATCTGGATTTTAGTTTCCTCTGTACAGAGCAGCATGGGTCTTAGGGTAGTTGCTGGTTGCCCTGTAGCTTGCGTAGTGGGATGATTTATTCTATTTGTTTTTTGTTTT